AGCACTTTGGGTGGCCGAGGCGGGTGGATCACGAGGTCAAGAGATCGAGACCATCCTGGTCATCATGGTGAAACCCCATCTCTACTACAAATACAAAAAATTAGCTGGGTACGGTGGCGTGTGCCTGTAATCCCAGCTACTCGGGAGGCTGAGGCAGGAGAATTGCCTGAACCCAGGAGGCGGAGGTTGCGGTGAGCCGAGATCGCGCCATTGCACTCCAGCCTGGGTAACAAAAGCGAAACGCCATCTCGGAAAAAAAAAAAAAAAAGGAAGTCTCTCTCTCTCTCTCTCTCTCTCTCTCTCTCTCTCTCTCTCTCTCTCTCTCTCTCTCTCTCTCCCCCCCCCTCCCTCCCTCCCTCCCTCTCTCTCTCTCTCTCTCTCTCTCTCTCTTTCTCTCTCGGAATTCTGTTTCCTTGGATTTTGGGGGGAGCCAAAGTTGCCTTTCCTTGGCTTCCTAAGTCTCTCTTCACAACTATATGGCTTCATCACAAGGAAGGTGGAGCAAAGCATTTTCAGAGCCATTGATCATGCCACCATTGCAAGAATCTAATGTGATGTTTCACCACAGCACACATCCAATAGTTACAAGTGAATATTAATATATAAATTAGGTTATTCTGTATCTAGCACTTATCTGTTTCAAGGTAATTATAATAATGTCATTCTCCTCTTTCGCCTTGCCTAAAGAGTCCTGTTAATGGAAGGACAGGATAGCGATCCCTAAGAAGATCAAATCCCCATTCAATCACTATTCTGGTGCTTCTCTTTGCTTCAAAATCTAACCATATCTCCTTATGCTTACCCATACTTGGGGCCAAATTAGGGTTTTTTTTTTTTGGTGGGGAGAGACAGTGGTGAGTGCATACATATGTTTGATTCATTCACAGTAGTGAAAGGGCAAAAGAAAATCAAAGCTTCAAGCTCATTTTATCTTTTAAAATGACATTGAGATAACACCAGAGTTATCCGAGCCCTGTGAAGACCCAGTCAGGACTTGATAAAGGTAGCTGTACTCCTGTTTTGTGTCATTAAAAAAAAAAAAAAAAAAAAAAGATCTTCTTGTCAAGATGTCCTCAGGTCATTATTTAGTTTAATGAACATTTCTAAAATGCCTAGTAGATGTTAGGCATTTCATCAAGTACTGGGAATAAAAAATGAATGAGACATAAACCTCACCCTGAAGTTGTTCACAACCCATTGAAAAAGATCATATAAAAAATACTTCCAATAAATAAAAAACCCTTAAGTAGAGATTAGCACTCTGGGTTATCTACAGGAACAGCAAAAGACTATCACAGATGGGGTTAAATGAGGGGTTCACAGGGTAATTGATGATATAATACAGTGACTTGAATGTGGTCCTGGCCATTAGGAGGAACTACATCTGTAAAGATCTTCTGGCATTTAAGAATAGAGTACATGCTGGAGAAATAGCAAATGATCAGCATGGCTGAAGCAACATAGAGCATGCTGATAGAAATTTTCTTAGGTTGAAAAGGTTTATTTTAAGGTTATTAACATAAAGTAATAGTTTCCATTAGCAGCAAGCTATTTTATTCAGACTATAAATGGTCATTTAAAAAAAAAAAACAGGTTGACGTAATCAAAAGAGTTTGTTGAATTTTTCTTCTACGAGAATATTTTGCCCAAGAAAATGTTTATTTACATGTGAAAAAGGATAATGCTAGAGGATAAACTAATTTACAATACATATATTACATACAATTTTTAGCTTCATAAATAAACTTTGTGATGTTTTTCATACTAATAAAAAATTTCATGTATTTATCATAAATAGGGCATTAGTAAAATGAATTTTTAATTATTCATACAATGGAATACTATGGATTCAATAAAACAAGGATCTAGAAAGATACTGGATTCTATAGAATTGATAGTCATTACATTGACTGTTGGAAAAATAAACCAATAACAGCAGATTCCGTAATAAACAGTAGAATCCCAACTTTTTTTTTTTTTTTTGGAGACTCTTGCTCTGTCACTCAGGCTGGAGTGTAATAATGCGACCTCGGCTCACTGGAAATTCCTCCTCCTGGGTTCAAGAAATTTTCCTGCCTTAGCATCCGGAGTAGCTAGGACTACAGGTGCCCACCACCACACCTGACTAATTTTTGTGTTTTTGGTAGAGACAAGGTTTCACCATGTTGGGCAGGCTGGTCTGGAACTCCTGACCTCAGGTGATCCACCTGCCCAGGCTTCCCAGATGGGATTACAGGTGTTAGCCACTGGGCCCAGCTGGACCTAATTTTTTTAAAAATATACATTTACTTATATATAAAAATACCTTAAAATATGTATATTAGTGGTAGTCATCTTAGGGTGGTAGGATTGGGTATGATCTGAACTTTCTTATCTTTAGAGTATCTTTTTTTTTTCTACAATAAATGTAAAGTTTTTAATATAAGAAAAAAATAATGGTTAACACTCAAGAGATACAATAAACTCTCTAGTTGTAATAAGGACAATTTTCAAACAGTGATTCCCAGTTCTACCTTCATATGTAGATAAAGCAGTAGAATAATGTCAAGGTGTTTTAATTAGTCTTTGGACCTAACACTGAATGTGGCTGTCCTTATGGGGGTCTGACTAGGTATTATTCAGTCCACATAACACCATAAGGACAATTCTGTCCAGAAAGTTGTTTCTGGGGTTAGATAAATTTGGCTAACAAGAAAGCATTGGTTGAAGTTCTCTGTAACCTTCTACCACTTATTTTATGTGTACAACTTATTGTTTGATTAATTACTTTGTTTTAAAAATTACAAATTAAAAAATACACTTTATGCATTTTTACTGTAGCAATTATCTCAATGGCATAGGGTTCCTTTCTATTTTCCATGCCTTATTTGGAAGGCTTGCCAAAAATTTTTCTGCTTTGTTTTACTTTATTTTGTTTAGATTGAAAATTTTACTGTTTCCACTGAGAAAATAGCTCAAACAACAAATAGTTTTTCTGTGTCATTTAAAAAAAATTATCTTCTTGTCAAGGTGTCCTTAGATCATCAGATACATTTAAAAAATGTGTTTTATAGTGACTTTGAAATACTATTAACCAAAAATACTCCATATACCCCCTTTTAAACAGGTGTGTGTGTGTGTGTGTGTGTGTGTGTGTGTGTGTGTGTATAATTGATTTTTAAATGGTATCCTTGCATTTACCTCCATGGCAGTTTTTGATAAATAAAAATTTTAAAATATGATTTATCATATTTTATATGTGTCTTAAGAATAAGTACCAGTACTCGATAGAGCAAGTACTAATAAAATGTTACTTCAGTTTTGAGTAAGGAATGCTTTTTTTGGACATTTATCAAAAAGGTAGTCATAAATCATCATTATATTCCTTTATAAGCAAAAAGAAGCAATACATACAGTTTGTACACCAGCAGTTTCATCTTCTCTTCATGTTGTGGCAGATTAATATCAGCTTAGCCCAAACATCCAAAGTTATGCTGTTGGCAATGTAGCCATCTGTTTTTAATGAATATCTGGGGTCCATTTTTCAGTTAAGCTTCTCTTATTGTGTGTGTATGTTGCATTTTCAGTGCTATCTGCATAATTGCTTAAAGATTTTACTGCAAAATTAATATCCTTGCTGTGAACAAGGGAACAAGGCAAAAACCAGGATGACAGAGCCTGAGATGAGGTGAAAAGCAAATCCAATTTTTCCTTGCACCATAGAAACCTCGTCAGGACTAGCTTTATCTGGTAATCCACATTTAAACTTTAACCTGTAGGGGGGCTCTTTGTGTTAGATAATGTAAGCATAAAAAGAGGCTGAATCACTAATCAGATTAATCATATTTTGTAAGAATCAAAAGCTTCATTAAAAGAACCTTGTATCCAAGTTACACAGTTTTGTTGTTGTTGTTGTTGGCAGAATAAGAGTTTATCATTAAAAAAAAATAAGAATGACATGAAAATGCTCAAATGTCTGCAACTTTTAGTGAACCTATAGCAAACAAGACCAAAGGACAAAATCTAATCTTAATTCATAAAATTACTTTACTTCCCAACAGAATCAACATATAGATTACTTCAGTTTCTTCATATTTTAACCTTAGAAGACAATATTGGATAAAGGTTGTGACTGCTATTATAATTTTTTCATATTTAGAGCAGTAATCTTCCTTTAATATATTTATATTATATACATTTATAAATTATATATTATACATGAATTATATATAAATGTAACACATAAATGTATAAAGACTACCATTTGATGACTTATTATTTTAAACCATTTCTCAAAAGCCATTCCTCTCATTTTGTAAGTTGATTTCTTAAAGGAAGAACATTTTTTTTTTTTTGGAAATAGGGAACTTTCTCAAGAGTAACATGAAAAGGAATGATTTTTGTAGGACCAGCATTTTATAAAATGTGATGCAAAGAAATGTAGTCATAAATTTATTTCATGTGTTGAAAAAGAGGGAAAGAAAAAATGTTATTATTTTTGTAAACAAAGCAAAACAAAGAGAAAAAATTATGTCGTTGATAGTCTGTAGCATGACTAGGTAATTGTGGGGAAAATGCAATAGTGTGTGTAACTTCATGCACACCAAAATCTTTCTTTCGAAACTCAGTCCTTATATTTTAAATCAACAAATAGTTTTCAGCATATGGCATGTTGCACTAATGCCTCCTAACAATATTGTTCCAATAATAATCTTGGTGAAAGAGCATGCCGAGTAATAGCTATTGAAAATTGTTTTATGCTACCCTTCTTGAAGGATACCATATAATTCTCATGCCTAAATAAGAGCATAAAAACATTACATCAGTTCATTTTTCTTAGTACAATACATACCATTCTATGGAAAGATCAATTTATAAGATTATATACTAACAGCAGTGGAACTCTAGATCTTAAAATCAACTATACAAAATTGCTAATCAAAATACATAGGTCTTTATAACCAAGTCATTAGAGATGAGGAAACTCAACCAAATGAAATGATACTACGGTTTGTTAACAACAACAACAAAAATAGAAGCAATATCAACAGCTTGCTTAGCATGTGATGATACTATATATAATATCTAAATTAATGAATATGTTAAATTTTTTGTAAAAGGTCTAAGTCTACTAACAAATCTGTAACTTAAATATTAGAAATATTAGTTTCTGAATGAATCATCAGTAAGTTTAATGCATGCTCTGTCAGCTATATAGATACAGTCATGTTTTATAATATCAGACTAGTCTAAATCAAGAATTTCTGCATTTGTATACATATGTCTATGATTTATTATCCATGATAATGAAAGTACATTTGTAACTCATCCCCAGTATTTCAATATCCTCAATATTCCCATAGTTTTTATTGCAAATTTCAATTCTACTTTTAACTGTTAAGGCATAACATTTTTCTATAAAGTTTAATTTGCCTGGCTTGTTTGTCTACTTTTATCCCAACAAATTAAATTGAAATATTCAAAATACCCACTCTTAAAAATATTGGTATACAAATTTTTCTTTACATTTAAAAAATAACTTTACCTGTGATTTTTAATTGTAAAGATCTTCACTGCTACACTAATTCCCAAAAGGAAATAAACTGTTTCACTATTCCTTAAATAGTCTACACAAGTTTTTTAACTATATCCCACAAAAACAAACAAAGAGAAAAACACACACAGCCAAAAAATAAGCAGTAAATCTCTATTTTTAAAAGATTCTAACATCAGAGATCTTTGGTAATTTTAACCTCTGATGAGTTTAACTAATGATGAACAATGAATGTGGTACTGATGGCCTATTCATCAGAAAATTAGGCATCTAACTCTTACCAAGCATCAGATTCACTCGATAATTTTGTGTAAGTCATGTCATCATCCAGATTGTCAGCTCATAATCTATAAAATGACAGAAATGACCTTAGTTCTGTCTAAGGCTGCTTACAAATGGAATATTCAATGATGCTTAATGTTGAATATAGGTGATATTTGAAGAGGAGATCTTTCTTATACAAATATAAATATTCAGAGGTTTCTGGAGTAACAAAGACAAATATATAATTGATATAACCTCAATTTTATTCTATTAAATTATGTAGTCATCCCTACCACACAAAGAAAATTATAAAGTTCATAAGCCCAGTAAATGCAGATAATATAGGCAGCAATTTGAATCATTTACTCCCCACAAGTTCCAAGCTATTCTCAAATTAGCAATTTTGCCTAAACTAGGCATTTGTTTGATTGGTTTTTTTTTTCCCTCTTCCTGCCCTCAATGAATTGTGACAATTTTTACTTTGCCTCAGCATATCAAGTCAGTCATGGAAACAGGAGGCAGAAGATTCAACTTTTTGGTGATTATAATTCTTGGGCCTCTAGTCTGCAAAAACATTGAGCAGGATTTAAAGAATGAGCAGAAATACAGAGAGTGCTTTAGTTTCATATTTCTTGATGCAAATCTCAAAGCTATCTTTTAGGTAAGAATCCCCCCACCTGCCCACCCCCAGTGGAGGAAAGGAAAAAGTCTTTACCATGCTTTAAATAAAAATGAAACAAAAACAAAACAAAACAACAAAAACCTTACATGACTGCTTCCAAGGAAAAAAAATCCTCTTTGGAATAGAGAGCAGCTGTGGAGACATCTGTGGGCTGAACTGAGTCCTAAAAGAACAATTGTGCATACATCTGTGGAGATAAAATAAGTGATGGATAAAATGTGAATTAAGAGCTCACATTCTGTAGATACTATTATAACTGTATAAGAATAAAATGAGGCTCATAAAACATGTTTTTACACTTTACCATCAACTCTCTGGTGAATTAAGATATGACAATGAGAGAGCAAAGCAAGGTCAGCTGGAGGGGCACAACACAGTTCCATGTTTGCTTTTTGCAGGAGAGGCCTAAGGACACATTTACCTTCTCTCAGTGAACATCACATATTTTTATTTGACCATCTGTACTGAGAGAAATTTCAGTGGTATCGGCATACCACATGTGAGTTGTGCCTCATGTATTTGTTCCTCAGTAACCTAGAATATTTTTTCAAATCTTCACATAGTTTGGTAAAATTTGAATTGGACTGCAAATAAAATACAGCTAAGACATGGAGCAAATCAACTGTTCTAATGAATCACATAACAAAACACAGGATCTTAGATGTCCATCAATTTCTACCTTACTTTCCAAATAAAATATTGGACTTCAGAGCAGCAAAGATACTTAGCCAAAATCATATAGATAGTGATATAATTTGAACAAAAACCTAGGTATCTGGTTTTCAATCTAAAGATTTTTACATTATACTCTCTGTTAGTTACCTTGAAAATATTTCACAAGCTTTCTGAAATAGCATTATCTTTTGACAAAATTTGAATGCTAATTAGCATATAAACATCTTGAGATCAGAGAATTTGCAGGTATTATTGAGTATAGTTATGTCCAATCAATATTTTGAGAACCTATGCAATTCAAGTTACTCCAGATTATGGAAAAAGATAGAAACTTTGAAATATTTAGTATTCTTTCAAACTCCTCTTGACATAAACTAAACAAGATATCATGGAAACACAAATAATATCTATCAATCACATTTTTAAAATAAGATTACAGAACTCTTCTACAAACCATTAGCAAATCAAATTGAGCAGTATTTCATAACCAAGGAGGTTTTAAACTTAAAGACTTAAACTTAAAGACATTACTTTTCTTCCTCAAATTAATTGTCCTTAAACTTAAAGACGTTAAGGACAATTAATTTGAGAAAGAAAAGTAATTTAGTCTTCTTTGTATATGAAATTGATAAAATTTAATATTCTCTGTAAGACTGCTGAAAAATGTGAAATAAAAAAAAAAAAAGCTCTTTCACCTAATAAAGACTATCTTAAAACAGACCACATAATTTTTACTGGTAAAATTCTAGAGTCACTTCTACTTTCAACACTTAGGAATACTCTATTTAATTGCTATAAAATACATCATGAGCATAACTATTACCAAAAAAAAAAAGGAGACAAAACAACACTACATATAAATTATATGCTCTGTATTTGGAAAGCCCAAGGTAATCACCAGAATCAATTGAAATATTATAAGCAATAATATAGTAAGAAAAGAGTCAATCACAAAATAATATTTAACAGCTCTATGGCAACTTAGATTTAGAACCTGTAACAGTAAAAGAATTCAAATTAGTAAAGTATCACATACAGTGAGAAAAATGCTTAACTGCAGTACTAACCTGAATAAAGAAAACTGAAAGATTTATTAAGATAGTACATGAAGACTTAAAGATATGTAGAGACTTATTATGGTACTGAATTAAAGGGTTTGATAACAAAGACATGTATTTCTTTAGAGTTAAACTATTAATTTAGCAAAATATTACTCAGTATAGCAAGGGAGTTTTCTTCAGAATTTTGCCAAATGATTTATGAGTCAATTTGGAATACAATAGATAAATGTAAGAATTGCAAAACCATTTTTGGAAGGATAGTGACACAGCCTCATTGTACAAAATGTTAACTTACATTTTAAAGATGAAATAATTTAAACAGTATGATGTTGAAACAAGTATCAATGCAACAAAATATAAAAGTCGAAAACATGCCTAAGAACATAGTATATGATAAGGGAAGTATATAAGGTTATTAAAGAAAGTAATTGAAATGGTATTGATATGGCATATTACAGTATGTAAAAAATTAATTTCTAATGAATTAAAAATATACATTTTAAAATGAGCTGATATGGGTATTATAATAAAATATAGTTCAAGACTTATATAAACTTGGATTGTGGATGTAGACCTATAAAGGCAAAAACCGATCTATCTCCTTCTCACCACTATACTGTTATTTCCTAGCTGCTAATCTTTTTCAACATGTGTGCTGTTGCTAAAACCTTCTAGACAGACATATTAGAAAAAGAGCACTGGGTACCTGAGGACTCCAGAAATAAATTCAGAAGAAAGTGAGATAGATGTTTAGAAAAGAAGATGGACATTTTCTATTGAAATTATGTCTTAATTGAGTATGCCTATAAAATACAGACAATGTCAAATGACAATTGTATAATATAATAATGATTTATAATTATTAAAAATCATCAATATTATTATTTTTTCTACATAGTGTTCTATTCATTACAGAACCTAGAATTTAAACTGTTCATATTCAGGTGCATTATAAGTAAAATTGAGTTTCTGAAATGATCTGCAAACCTAATCACTCTGCTAAATATATGAGTATGTGGGGAAATACATTTTGTTTTCAAGTGACTGACATTTAAATAGACCTTGGAAAGACAAACAACTAGTAAAGCAATGGCTGATTACATAATTTAATACAATCACATCATTATATAATACAATTATATTAATCTATATATAATAAAAATAAAATTTTCCTGGCTGATTTTGAAAATATTTGAAACGATAAATTCTTTTATTTTTTCTAGTTCCTCCTCTTTGGAGTTAGAATGTTTGCATATGATTGGTATCCTTTTAAATTTTTTATCTCCACAAGTTTTTTTTTAATTTTTAATTTTTGTAGATATATATATTTATGGTATAAATGACATGTTTTGATAGAGGCATGCAATGTGAAATAAGCACATCATGAAAAATAAGGTTTGCATCCACTCAAGCATTCATCCACTGATGTTCTCACTTATTCGTGGAAACTAAAAATTTTTTCAAATTTTTGACTCTTCTGTAAAACCATTTCACTTAAAACACCAACACATTGTGTAGTATATAAAAATATTTTCTGTCTTTATATCCTTAGTCTATAAACTTTTTCCTATTTTAAAAATTTTAATTTTTCTTTTTAAACCTTTTTCTTAAAAACTGATATGTAAGCACATATAGTAGACTAAACCTACACGGGGTCAGGATCAATATTATTGGCACCACATTTCGTACTACTGGAAGGACGTCAGAGACAATGACATTCATGGATCTGTTATCTTCTATAACAATGCCTTCTTTTGGAATACCTCCTGAAGGACTTACCCGCCACTATTTTACAATTAATTTCCTTTTTACATAAGTAGAGAAAGCACATTATAAAGTAACAATACAAATTGTAATAGTAAATACATAACCAGTAACATGGTCATTTATTATCATTATTAAATATTATGTACTGACATAATTGTATGTGTCATACTTTTATATGAATGGCAACGTAGTAGGATTTTTAACATCAGCACCACCACAAACTCATCAGTGATGTGTTTGCTACAATGTTATGACAGCTATAATGTCATGAGGCAATAGGAATTTTTCAGCTTGATTATAATCTTATGAGACCCCCCATAATATATGTGGTCCATCATTGATTGAAATGTTGTTATGTGGCACATGACTATTTGAATGGTTGTTTTTACTCAAACATCATGAGGACAAAAGGGTTTGGTAAGAATGAATGTATCTTTTCTGTAATGAGAATGAACTTGAATTTGCTATATTTACTAAATATAATTTGCTATATGAACACATACAAAATATTTTCAGTGAATATTAATACACATCAACAATGTGAAAGAGGTTTCCAGTCACATTAACAGGAAGTTTCTTCTTAATGAGAGCCCAAACTTAACAATAACTTCTTAGCTTGCTGAGCAATGTAACTCTTCCTGTGGAACATCATTAACACCCAGATAATTATGGATTCAGATGCTGAGTTTGAATCATCTCGCAAAACACAATTAAAGGCAAAATAAATGAATTATTCACCATTCATACTGGTGGCCAATAATCAAGACAGATATGTTTCCACTTTTGAAAAGATGTTGCCTTTCTACCTTCAAGTCCTTAAGAGAAACCAGAAAACATGCACAGAAGTGGCTTTTTGCATAATCCCTAGGTCCTATCTTTGCCAATATGAAGGCAGTGACAGTTGCATCAGTGGTCAGACTCACTGAGAAATAATAGACATATTCTGGGTGGCATCTTTGTCCTAACAGTATCTCTCTTGTTCTCTTTTTATACTCTATGAAGGGATATTTCTGATTTTCTGCTTCTTTGGCTTCTTTGCACTCATGAAAAAAAATACTACAACATGCTTGAAATACTTCACTTGTTAATGAAGCTACAGTAATGATCTTCTTAGACTTATGCTATTTGTTCTGGCTCAAAGTTAACAGCTAAAAATCTAGAGGGGAGACCAGTCAGATACCAAGTCCAGAAACATATTTTAAGTAAGAATAAAAACTGGGTAAGTTAGATAAGCGCTGAAATAGTCAAGAGTTCAGTTGAAATTACATAAAAATACACATATTTTGTGTTTGGGAATGTATCTCTGGCACAAGATTTGGAATAAAAGATGGCAAATCAGGGTTAGAGTCTGGTCACAAAATTATACATAAATTAGGCTGCATCAGAGACAAAATGGCAAAAGCCTCATTTATCATTTAATCAGCAGGCTTCAGATTTCTTCCCATTCTATGTCTCCTAATGGTCTTTCTTGAGAAGAGCTTGTAGAGATGGCCGGTGACAGGCCAGGTATGAAAAGATAAGAGGCAGGCACAAAATTAGTTTAATGCCCATGAGTCACAACCCACTAGCTACTTCAGCCTGCCACTAATCAGGGTGGTAAGTGTAAGGAGTGGGTGGGAAGTTTGATTTTACTAAAAGCAAGATGATGACAAATCAAAGCAATGTGTCACTCCAAACACTAGGG